ACTAACTAACTAACTAACTAACTAACTAACTAACTAACTAACTAACTAACTAACTAACTAACTAACTAACTAACTAACTAACTACTAACTAACTAACTAACTAACTAACTAACTAACTAACTAACTAACTAACTAACTAACTAACTAACTAACTAACTAACTAACTAACTAACTAACTAACTAACTAACTAACTAACTAACTAACTAACTAACTAACTAACTAACTAACTAACTAACTAACTAACTAACTAACTAACTAACTAACTAACTAACTAACTAACTAACTAACTAACTAACTACTAACTAACTAACTAACTAACTAACTAACTAACTAACTAACTAACTAACTAACTAACTAACTAACTAACTAACTAACTAACTAACTACTAACTAACTAACTACTAACTAACTAACTAACTAACTAACTAACTACTAACTAACTAACTAACTAACTAACTAACTAACTAACTAACTAACTAACTAACTAACTAACTAACTAACTAACTAACTAACTAACTAACTAACTAACTAACTAACTAACTAACTAACTAACTAACTAACTAACTAACTAACTAACTAACTAACTAACTAACTAACTAACTACTAACTAACTAACTAACTAACTAACTAACTAACTAACTAACTAACTAACTAACTAACTAACTAACTAACTAACTAACTAACTAACTAACTAACTAACTAACTACTAACTAACTAACTAACTAACTAACTAACTAACTAACTAACTAACTAACTAACTAACTAACTAACTAACTAACTAACTAACTACTAACTAACTAACTAACTAACTAACTAACTAACTAACTAACTAACTACTAACTAACTAACTAACTAACTAACTAACTAACTAACTAACTAACTAACTAACTAACTAACTAACTAACTAACTAACTAACTAACTAACTAACTAACTAACTAACTAACTAACTAACTAACTAACTAACTAACTAATTAATCTATTGATTAATAAATGAACTATTCTTTTAAATAGTCGATTGACCAGTCTATAAAATAATCCATGTCTATTTGTATGTCTATGTAAAAATCTACTGACTGGACTATTCTATGGATTGATCTATGGACCAGTCTATCGCCTAGTCTATGGACTAATCTATGGACTACTCTATAGGCAAGTCTATATATACATTTTTTAACAAGTCTGTGAACTACTCTACTGATTAGTCTATGGACTACTCTATAACCTAACCTATGGAGTAGTCTATGGACTAGTCTATTTATAAGTTTATAAACTTTTTTTATTGATCTGTATTTGGATTAGCCTCCAGATTAATCTATAAACTAAATAATGCACTGGTCTATTTATTATTCTATTAACTAATCTATGGACAAATCTATATACTATCGTCTGTTGGCTTTAGTTTGGGCGGCTATCATATTTCACTCTTTACATTCTCTCCATAAGGATCTTGAGTATGCGTCCGCTGGCAATATCTGGTCACATGTCTGCCCTGCTAAAGGCTGTCGGTCCTCAATCCTCATATTGAGCGGCATTTCATCTGCAACAGTATCCACTGGAACGGCAGTTTTTCATGTCAGACAATGGTTGTAAAATACGGCCCATTTAATCCGAAAAGAAATTATGCCCTGCGTATCAAGTCCATAGGTTAGACTAAACACAAATCTATTAACTATCAACTGTCTCGACTTTGGACTAGTCTATTGATTAGTTTATAGATTATTGTATAAACTATACTATGGACTGATAAGTAAATGTTTATAATTTTCCATGCCTGATATTGTTCATTCTTTGAGATATCTTAGCATTACATTTTGGACTCTGAAAGTAGACGTTTTATATGAAAAATACAAAAAGTTATTCTTGTTTGCAAAGGACAACCTTGTTAGTGTCATATAAAACCTTAAACCGAACAATATTTAGTAAGATACAAATTTACTTGAAAGGAATGCCCAATCTTCTTCAGAACAATTCCTTTGGCATTGAAATATCTATTTTACTCATTACATACATATGTATGTATTTTATTGTTTTGGAGAGCTTTAGAAAAAGCCTATAATATTTTTATACTGTATTTCATTGTCCCATTGTCGTTTTACGATATGAAGACGTTATTAATACAAAAACTCTCCAACGATTCTAATGCCTGTTTATTAAAGACAACAACCCTAACAAATGTTTAAGTAAATACAACCACTACATGGGATAAGGCAGTTCATAAGCAAATGATAAGCTTGAGATAAAGCAGTTATAAACAGTGTCGGGAAAAAAATTTATACATTTTCTTGCAGAAGAAAACAGAAATAAACAAAAATGAAAAAAAACTAAATTTTTAAAAATTGTGTTAAAAAATGTTTTCTAAATAGAAATGGGTTGTTCCAACTATCGTCTGTTGGCCCTAGTTTGGGCGACTATCATATTTCACACTTTACATTCTCTTCATAAGGATCTTAAGTATGCGTCCGTTGGCAATATCTGGTCACATGTCTGCCTTAACTTAGGACTTAATAATCTCTGGAGACCCCTCTACTACAGCGTTGGTTTCAGGCTGCTACTGAGACGGAAGGCGGTCGAAAAACGAGCTTGATACAGTGTGGTTCTTCGAAACCAGGTATTTCGAAGGCTTCTAAGATCCAGACGGGATCCGATCCTGCCGAAATCCCTTTTTCTGATGCTCGTGAGGCGTCACGGATTCAGCCCACCGATAAGCCAGTGTTCTCAATGCCTAAAGTTGAGCAAGAAAAACATACGAAGAATAATTCGATGCTCTCCGAGGCTCTTCCCTCGATTTCAATGGCCTCTAATGTAGATCCCTTTAGGCACAAAACACTACATTTCACAACCAGGCCTTCCGTCTATAAAATTATAAATCGGCTTACTGCAAAGCAGGTTTATATGCTCACAGAATAAGAGAAGATCTTTCTCCAATGGGCTAAATTCCACATAGAGGCAATTAAAAGTAGCAATTCTAAACGGAAGTCATCCGAAGACAAGAGGACACTACCCTCCTCGAATCTCAGAGATTCAAATATAGTCCTGAACGGATAATGGACTCTTCGTAAAATGAAATCGCGAGACACTAAACCTGTGCAGATTGGGCCACATATTAATCCTCAATCAATGTTTCAAAAACCTGATTAGGAAATTTTGAGAGAAACCAAAAATACAATAGGCTTCAACTGGGGTAATAACACTAAAAGCTTTATAAAACAAAATTTCCATACAAAATCTAATTTATAAACTGTTTATAAAATAAAAATTTTGTTTGTGAATAAGGAGGTAAAAATGTATTCTGGTTATACGACATGGTTTTCAAACTTATCTTATTTCACGGATCGACAGTTTATTACACTGCACTGAAAAAGGCAAACCACCAATAAAATTTTGAAAGTATTATGAGATTCAAACATTCCAGAATGCATTTCCCCTAGAGGGAGAGGGAGGGGAATGGTCAAAATTGAGTATTTGTGACACAAGTACATAGTTCACGAGGGCTGAAAGATGAATTTTATTGTTTATTTTTTCACAACGGTGGTGACATTATAGGCTAATACTTACCAAGCTCACTTACAAATAGGGAGTTAATTAAGTACTTACCACGATCGCCAGCTAATAAGGACTTATGTACATACATATGTAAGTTTGTATGTACAGTAAGTTGCCAATCATGATTACTGCGTCTACCAATAGCTTTCCAGCAGTTCGGTCGGAGAGTCCCGAACTAGCTATTTATCCTGCCACTTAGGGTTACCCCTAGTCACCGACTGTCCAGGTGACTAGCTATTTTAACAAGTGCTTGTCGGTGGAGGAAGTCAATCGTCACCCCATAGATTACGAAAAGACAGACAAAAAGCTTATGCATGTTTTTTAAGTGTCCCCACTTTTGCTTACAAAGGGGACACTAAAGTGACAATTATCTTCACCCTCGTTTACAAAGAGTACATCCGTGACGAAACATGAATTAAAGGGTACCATGGGGTTAGACGTTAGTGGAAATCACTGTCTTTTTCGTAAGCATTGACCCAAAAATACTTCTTCTTGGTAATGCTATAATGTTATAGCTTTAATCATAAGAAACTAATGATACGTATGGTATCCACAATTAAGTGGATTCCCCCTGTTCAAATAGAAATCAAGCCATTTTTATTAGTCTGTTTTAAATCCCTTTTAAATTTCAATCTAAAATAATTTAACTAAATGTTTGGATCACAAACTAATTTATAGAAAAAAAACCCCATTCTTTTGCATGGAAAAAATCATAAAATTTTTTGTATTGGTAAGTGATCAATTCACTCAATAAAATAATAACAACAACAAACAATAATAACATGACAAACAAATCGTGTCAAAATAAAAGCAACAACAATATGTACAATTTTTTTGTATTTAAAACCGGAATCAACAAAAAAACTTAGCGAATAAGAAAAAAATCACAGAAATAAAGAACAAATTTATTTATTTAATGTACACGAAAAAAAGGAGTGTAAGTGTAGTACAACAATAAAAAAGAATACAAAAAAATACCGGTGAACGTAAGCAGAGCAGCCTCCACTTTACACACACACACAGCAACAACAATGAACGACAAAAAAAGTTATACACAAAAAACTACTTTACATGAATTTTGTTGTTGTTGTTTGGTGGAAAGAGAAAAAAAAAAACGAAAGAAAAAAGGGTTGCCAATTGAATAGACACAAAAACAACATAAAACATACAGGGAAAAAATGCACACACACAGCAAAAAAAACGTAAACACAAGCAACGACGACAAAAAAATCTGAGCATGCCAGCAGCAGCAACAACAACAAAGATAAATAAGCAGAGTAAAAAATTAAATGAGAGTAGTAATCAGGGAAACTATAGCCGCACTCTTTTAACTGCTGATCCCTTAACGGACAGTAACTGTTACTTTCTCTGTTTAACAATTGTTGCGCAGTTGCTGAGAGAGCGACTTTGGTGTAGAAAAAAAATTCAATTACTCTTCAAAAGATTTTTTTTGTTGTTACTCTGACAGTTAAGTTTTTGCTATGCGGTGGTGAACATTTATTGAATTAATTTGTAAACGACGGACGGACACGCCAGTTTAAAAAACCCTATTATGTTTTTATAACAAGAAGAATAAAAAAAGCAAAAAATAAAAACACAAAAAAAAAAACAAACTACACACAAATTATTTGGAATTTTGTGAAGAAAACAAAAATACTTCAGAAAAAAAGAAGAAAATTTGTGTTTATAACACAAGAAGAATAAAAAAAGAAATTATTTCTTTTTTTTTATTGCAAACCAATTGCTGAAGATAAAGTTGTAAAGCAAAAGAATAACAAAAAGAAATAAGAGAAAAAACGAAAGAATTAAAAATTAATTTTTTAGATACAAATTAAATCAAGTGTATATTTTTGGTGCGCGGCCATTTTTTTGTGTGCCTCTGCCAGCTTTTTTAAATTCGTTGTCGTCGTTGTGTCGAAAAAAAACCCGAAGAAGGAGGCGAAGTAAAAAAATTAATAAAAAAAAGATTTTGCAAGTGACGAAGTTTGTTTTTTGTTCATTAAATAAATATAGTCCAAAAAAAAAAAGAGCGCAAATTAAAAAAAATCGCAAAAAAGAATAAAAAAAATGCTGGTGATAATAAATGAAACATGTGTGTAATTGAAAATTGCTTACTTATAAAAAAATATTGAAATATTTAACAACAACATGCTGCATACAAAGCTTTACATATAATTTGCGAAATAAAAAGAATAGAAAATTAAAAGTGAACCCACAAAAAAAAAAGCTGAAAAAAATCAATAAAAAAGTTTAAACACCTACTTATTACAACAGTTCTAAGTACCTGGCCCTTTTTTAAGATATCTTGAATGCCACTTAAAGGACTACATATTCTATTCATTGGACCCCCTCTTTAAATAATTCAATTGGAACACGTGTTATAACCCCCCCGCTATACCAATTGGTTAGTATATTTTTTTAATAATATTGCATTTTTTACTATTTACATATTTATTATTTAATATTCAATAAATAATTAATTATTGTTTGTTTACAAACATTTATATTATTTATTTTTAGTTTTGTATTTATTTATTTTAAAGTAGTATAAAAAAACTCTTTAAATTATTCATATTAAAATTTTTTATTATTATTGTATTGTTTCGTTTTGTCAGAGATGTATAATTGGGTACATTTGTGGGGTTTAGTTAGAAAAAGTACTTTTTTGGGTGGAATTGTTTTACTGGAAGATAGGGAGGGGTATAATTTAAAATAAATTTTTAGAATATTAATGTACTTGAAAGTGCAACATTCTAAATAAATTTGTTTTTTATTAGTTGAAAAAATTAATAAATTTTGTATTATTTGAGAAACTCTACTTTAGAAATCAAAACTTTTCGGTATAACTAAAGCAAACTATTAATGGAATCTAGTTAATATATATTCTCTGATGTATTTCCAATATCGTCTTTAAACTAAACACAATTTCTCTGCACCTCAAGAATCTTTGAGTTACCATTTTGATGGCCATAAAATCGAAACCATGGACTGACGACAAACATTTTTCTACACAAACTTAAAATGAAAAGTTCTATTATGGCTAGGATTTTGTAATCTTTTACTCAAATTTGGATAAACTATACCTATAAGCCCCACTTTTAAGTAAATATATTAATCAGTTCAGAATCATATTTCTAGTTGATTTAGGTATGTCCGTCCCTTATTTATAACTTGTAATCTTAGTTGATCAAAGATAACATTTCAGCACTTTCCCACTTTTAAGTAAATATATTAACACCAGTTCAGAATCATATTTCTAGTTGATTTAGCTATTTCCGTCCCTTATGTATAACTTGTAATCTAAGTTGATCAAAGATAACATCCCAGCATCAATGCATCCGAAAAAGACAGTAACTTCCACTAACGTCTAACCACCTTGTAGAACAATAATTCGTCTATCTATGTGGTGACCATTGAATTTCTCGTAGGACAAGCACATGTTAAAAAAGCTAGTCACTTGGGCTGTCAGTGACTAGGTCTAATCCTAAGTGGTAGGTTATATAGTACGGAACTGTCCGACCGAAATGCTGGAATAGGCTAACAAAATTTAAAAAAAAGTTATAATCCAGATACCTTTTTCTAGAGTACTAAGTAGCGCTGAATTTGAATCTTGAATTCGCAGATTTTCTTCATCACATTCTGTTCTCCAGATATCGTGTCATATAGATTGAAAAAAACCCGTTCTTTGGTCATATGCGACTCGTTATAACAGAGCCAAGATACAAAATTGCTTATGTCTTCTGAAAATCTAATCTTTTAACTTTAAAATAAAGGTTTTATCACTATTATATATTATTCCTACTTTGAGATATCATTACCCATAATTAAATTTACGACAAAAATTTCGACAGACGATATCTCAGCAAATACAAGATTATCTTTCGATATTAAGGAAATGATATTTTAAAAACTTGATGTGATATAGAAATTCTGATGTTGCTTTTTGACACTTTTTTATAGAAAAATTTCGAAAGAAGAACTTCTTTATATAAAATTTTAAACTAGTAAATGTCTAACTTTTATACACATATGTATGTATTACTTCTTTAGAGACTGTTATAGAAATATCGTATAAAAAAAGAAAATATTTTTCTACTTTTTAATAAAAAAATAATTCTTTAGAGATTCTTCTATAGAAATTATAATTTTTGTGGGACTTTTCAAAATAGAATGTGATCTTTAAAGGATTTTTTGGAGAAGTATTATTTTAGTTAACTTTTCTATAAATATATGTATATATCTTAGAAACTCAAACTAAAAATGTCCTTCCTCCTTGGAAATTTTTCTATAAAACGTCTTATTATAAAAGAATTGCATTCATGGATATTTTTATATAGAAATATGGCATTTTTACAAAGAAAAGTTTTTACTTTAGTAACCAATTTTTAATGTATTTTTAACTTATATCTTGCAAACGTACATATGTATATGGAAAAAGCATACTGGATATAACATCATGATGTGCTACGTGAGGACTAGGTAATCCACAATTGCATTACATTGGACTTATCCCAAAACTACTCTCTTGCTAAAATTATGGGACTACATGTTCCGCAACTTAGTCCAATGCAATGCAGGTTATGGACCTGCATGCATTACATAGAACTACAAAAGGGATATTATATAAAAAAGTGCCGTCTTGGAAAAATTAGAATAGAAAACACTCGAATATGTATGTCTTCAATTCTATAGAAAATTTTCTAACTTAAACTTTGATGTGTTTTCATTGAAAATTACATTTAAAATCTATCGTTTTTTAATAATTTTCTTTTAATTTTATTCTTTAGAAAGATTTATATAGCATTTAATCAAATAAGATTATAAATTTTTATTTAAACAAAAAAACTAACTTATTTATCACTTAACCAAAAAAAGTACCGATTTTCTTGTAGTAATTTCTCTTAAATTTCCATCACTGGTGTCATGTTATTTACCTCAACAACAACAATTGAAATTTTATTCTTTACTTTTTTTGTGTTATGTTGTCTTCTTTTCTCTCATAAAAACTTCATTTAATTTCCAATTTTTTTTGTTTGTTTTGTCGTACGTACATGTTTGTTTGTGTGTTTTACTTTTTAAATTTTAATTCACGTTTTCGTTAATTTTTTTCTTTTTATTTCCATTTTTTTATACCAGATTTTTTTTTTATGATCTTTATTGCTTCTTGTTCATTCTTTTTTTGTTGTATTAAATTTTTTATGACTTGTTTTTATTTTTTTTCATTTTGTTAGTTTTTTTTGTACTCTTTCTCACTTTTTTTAACGTTAGCGCCTCTGTTGTCTGTTTAACGTCTTGTGTCCACTTTAGTATATTTGATTTCGGTTTTTTTGTTCGTGTTTGGTTTTTTTTCTTTTATTTTGTGTATGACGTGTGTTTGTTTGTGTATTCTATTGTGAGGGAGCAAACGAAAAAAAGTTTTTTTGCATACAGTTTTTGTTGTTGTTGTTTTTGCTGTTCGTTTTTCACAATCAATTTTTTTGTTTCTATTCTGTTGAAATTGCGCTCATTTAAGTTATGAGGGTTGCCAAAGCAATTAAGAAGGCTTATTGGAATTTATTTATAGGATCATTTTGTATTTAAAAAAAATTTCTACATGAATTAAATTTACAGAAAATAACAACTCATTACTATAATAAATTTTATAATATATAGTATGAATCGCACTTGAGTTTTATCTGATCGATTATTCATTCAACATTAGAAAAGTTTATAGGTAGGGTAAATTTAAGAGTAATTGGCAGTTTTTGAGCTTTTCAATGTCAAAATACAAATTACCTACCCCTGAAAACAGTCAAGTAATTAATTACCTATCTTCTCAGACTCCAATAATCTGAAAAATATAAAATAAAAATTATAGAAGAAAAAGACAAATCTAAATGAATTGTACTTTCTTCAAAGCTTTTATTTTGAAAAATAATTAGGTACCTATAAAATAAAAAATTGCGAAACATAGGTATTGACTAAAACTTAAAATTGTTTTACAACCTCGAAATACCACTAATTATCGAGTTGCTCCAATGAGATCAAGAATGCACAAAAATTACATCAATTATAAACTTTTTTTATTTAATTATAAAAGTTTAGGAATTGACTAACAAGTTCTTAAAGAAATTTTAGTAAAAATGTTCGAATTTCTAAAAAAAATGTAAACTTTTACTTGTCAATATTCGAATGTCATATGTAAATATTCAATGCAATTCGGAATTTTTTGTAACTCTAAAGTAAAATATTAAGGATTTTTAGCCTTTATGGTAGTTCAGCTCCATTTCTCTTAGTACTATGAGGTGTATTTTAGTCAATTTGGAGTCCTTAAGACTAATATAGTTTTTTTATTACCTACCCATAGTTTCCTATACTCTAAAACATTTCATAAGCGCTAGGAGGTTTATTTGAGTAAATTTGGAACAAGAACTATGTTCCTATCTGTGCTAGGCTCGAACATCTATATTAGTGATGAACACAGATGTGATAGTATAGGTGGAGATCAGAAGGTACAGAAAGACGCAAGCTGAAAAGATGATTATTGGAAAAATTACACCTATACAAAAACAGTTCCGCTGGAGTCTGATATTATGAAAATACATACTATTTATATTGTTTAAATATCTTCTGTAGTAGCTGAGATATCATTCATTGAAGTTGACAGACGGACATACATCGTTAAGTCGTATCAGAAAGTGATTTTGAATCGATTGTAATATCTTAAGATACCTAGGTCGTTCTCGATCAAATGTTTTTGTTTGTTATAAACAATATTTACAAAGCATTATATCATCCGAACTATAGCACTGTACGATATTCATGGTATTTAATATGCCAAAAATCATAAGTTTTCAAGACTATGGTGATGATATCTTGAAAAAGAAATAAGATATGCCAGATGTTAAGCCTTTATTTTTAAGTTGACAGAATAAAAATTCCGATGGCATAGAACGTTTTAAAAATAACTTCTCAAACAGGGAAAAAAATGGGATTTTACAAATTTCAGGATACAATATCACTAATCCTAGTGTTATTTGATGTTCTAGTTCCGAATATGAAAATAAAAAAATCGTATCACTCACATTATCATCTTTTAGTCTGACTGTAATCTTATGGCTTAAATACTATAAAATTCTATAATTGTTAATTGTCTCTGCCTTAAGACTTATACTTAAAGTTATAAAAATGCATTCCGGAAAAATTTAGCGCTATAGGACCACGTTAACTGGTGCCACCACGGCTCTGAAAGGCAAATTTATTTTTTGGATTTTAACAGCAAATAATTTGAATATGTACCTTTGTAATTATTGTTCCAATAAGATATAAAACGCAAAACTGGGTTAAAATTTTTAACATTTAAAAAAATTTAACAAATTTTGGGAAATACCTATTCTCTTTAATATTATATCTTTTGGTATTAAA